GATTGGCGGCGGCGGTGGCGTGCATCGGCGTATCATGTTAGTGACCTTAAAAATATCACATTTTCAAAAATATTGTGTTGGTGTTTGTGACATGTTAGAGGCAATGCCATTTGAAATTTGCTGCCGACACACCATCGTATCTTTTCGGTTCAGAATCGAAATTATTTTCAAGGTTGTTTGGATGAATGCTCGATCCTTGTGCAGTAATTCCATAGAAAAAAGTTAGAGTGGATCTTATAATTTCATAACAATTGGTAATTTTGTTCCTTATCGAAAAATATTAGAACCGTATTTATATATTTCGTCATCAGAGTGGCCCTTCCGTGTTTTTTTTCCTTGATTTGTTTTCTGTAGATCTTGTTTTCCGTGCTGAGCACCAATGCTACCGACGCCAGGGAGGCAGCTTCCACACCTGGACCCTACCTATCGACCCATCAACTCAACAACCAACGGCTTTACTTCCCTTCCGAAGGAAGGCGTGATCGGAGACCTCAGAACATCCCGGCAGCGCTGACTTGGAATGAACCCAGGCCTGCTGAGGTGAGAGATTATCCCTTTCCGTGTTGGGGTGGTCCCAAAAAATCAGCAGTTTCCAATTTTTTTCAAACCATAACTTTTGAACCACTGGACCGATTTTTTTTATCAAAAGGTTAAATGAAAAAAATTTAAATTTTGTTTTTAGGAAAAATAAGACTACGGACTGAAATTGTGGTTTACCGATAAAAAACATTGATTATAATCGATTTTCATGGTTCTTATGTTCTCGGGACCAAAGGCACTATTACAAGTTATATTTTTTCTTGAAAATTTTGACTCATTTACACAACAAATCAGAAATTAAGCGATGTATGATGTTTCCGTTTCTGAGCTAAATTATTTCAAAGAAATTAAGTTTTAAGGTTTTGCTCATAAACTTCCGTGTGCCTCCATTATCAAAAACTACATATTTTTTTGAAATTGCAAGAAATGCAAAAACATGCATCGTTGAATTTTTGATATGTTGTTTAAAAATCCCGAATTTTCAAGAAAAAAAAATATAACATACATTAGTTCCTATGGTCCCAAGACTATGAATACAGGGGTTTCCGAGAACGTGTTTGATATTTACTATTATGATCTAGGAACTTTTTGCACCAATGAAAGATATCGTTTTCGAACTCTTATGTGCCTTAAAGTTTAATATGCTTGTTTTATTTTCCAATTTGGTGCAGTTTGCGAGAAACAGTTCTAATAAAATTTAGAAGCTATTTAGAGCCTTTACATCGTTGGTGTATTAAAAAATATAACGGCGGCGTGTCAACAATTATCACTCAGTTCTGGTACTATCTTCGGTCCTAAGCTGCTCGATGCACCCTTCGAAACATAGGAAAATCCACGAGCTCCTCACTTTATCTGTCCCACTTTCAAAGCGAATAAAAAAAAACATTGTGTAGTACTAGAATTTCGACTAGAATGGGTTACGTTAATCGATTTGCTTGGACCAATAGGCTAGTCAAGTAGTGAGCCAATTTAAAATCATTAATTTCCACCGGTTGGCCTAATGGCGTTTGGCCTAATGACCCATGACTTGTCCCCCAACTTCACACGCTAACTTGAAAGTACTCATTTCACCCAAAAATTTCACTCTTAATGGGTCAATTTTATACCCATTGACTGAGTACCTGTTACCAGCCTTGAAAATGCTAATTTCAGCTAAAATGCTACTTTTTGAAATTATGAAACTATGAGCTATTATAATAATATCAATATGTTATATGCAATAAGAGAAGTGATGTATGTTTATGACACATAACACCTGTCAAGAGTGTCACAATTAACGATTAGCTATAACGAATAGTGCTCACTCATCGCGATAACTCATTACAGCTTAATTAGTCAATAGCCTCTGAATGCAAAATTTAAATTTAGGTTTTATGTGTCATAAATAAACTTTAGCTCCTCTTCTTGAATCTTACATACACAAATTATTATTATAATATCTTAAAGTTTTATAATTTCGAAAAGTTGCATTTTAGCTGTAATGAGCATTTCTAAACCTGCCTTTTACTTATTAATAGGTAACTTGAATTTTTACTGGTTTTCTATTGAAAATTCCCGCAAGACTGTGAAAGTCACTAGAAATTACAGCCCAACAATACCAATCGCATTACCAATCAACCAGTAATGAATAACTGTTACCTAGATTACTACCAACAATCAATACGAAACTATCGATTTTAAATTGGCTCACTACTGGACTAGCTTATTGGTCCCAAGCAAATCGATTAACGCATCCCATTCTAGTTGAAATTCTAGTACTAAACTAGGTTTGTTTTGATTCTCTATGAAAGTTTGACAAATAAAATTAGGGGTTCGTGGTATTTTCCTTGTTTCGAGGGGTGCATCGATTAGCTTGGGACCGAAGATAGCTCCAGAGCTGAGCCAAAAAGTTGAGCACGTTTCTTCGGGACCTTCTGGTCTTAGAGTTACCTCTATATTACTACTGTTGAATACCCATAGTACAGTCACAGACAAACAGACATAACACTCACAATCACATTCATCGCAAATAATGTTTTAGTTGGGAATGTGCTTGCATTTGTCATGGTGGCACCACTGAAGCATTGAGCAAGCCACCAAATTTTGAACTTATCAGTGATGCCAGTTCTTTTTCACCACATACCACATCTGACGAATACACATAAAAAAGTTGTTGAATATTACATCAAAAGTACTGCATATTAGTCATTCCGTTCCTAATATTACGCTGTAAGATTAACACAGAATTCGAGAACAAATCATGTTGATGACTGTAACATTCTATTAACTTTTACCTCTTTTACCAGTTATTGATGTTCAATACTTCATCATGAATTTCATTGATTGATACATATTATATTTATTGCTGCACACACATTAAAGTGATGAGCAGTGGTAGAAAGGGTACTAATTAGTGATTTATTACCTCGCTTAAAAACTTTTTTCCAGCAAAAGAAAAAGCACACTAAACAAACAAAACAAATCCAAAAAAAAGGGTTAGCTTCTGTGAATTTTTCTTACGGATCCGTATTTCTGCCGAATTCAATCAATTCTATAGATCTACGGAAAATTTAGTAGAACCGACATCACTGACTTCCATCTGTTTTGTTTTTATTCAACACAGCTGACGCGTTAACAGAACGAGGGAAAAGCAACTGGTGAAAAAATGGCATGGACGAGGGATGCTCTAGTTGCACATCAGTGCTTGGGAATGTGGATGATAGATGGTGCTAGTGCGCATGCAAAATACGCTTGACGATATTTTTGGAAGAATTTTCTTCTAAGAGTTATGTCTGTTTGTCTGTGGTACAGTGTTACAGAAATATAAAAAAAAAAAATATTTTCAAGTGATCTATTGTAGGTTGTTATTCTAACCGAGTTCACCAATAAATTAGATTTTTAATTTTTCAAACACCCCCAATATTTGAAGTTGTTGTCAAAAATCCGTACTATCAAGAGTAACTTAATCATTTCCCAACAAATTTTTAATTTCTAAATGGTTTTGGAAAGCAAATAGTCAGAGCTTTTGAAATATGGGAAATGGCTCAAATGTTGGCCCATGGATCTAAGATAGGGCCCATCGCTAAAAATCTGCTATTTATCAATGTTATCAAGATGAATGCGTCATTGGGACGGTACTAACGGATATTTTTGGTAATTGAATTATTGAAAATTTAGTCTATTGGTGAATTTATGTATGGGCCCAAATTTAAGCCAACATTTTATCCATTTCCCCTATAGAGTGATTGTATTGGAATTCATAGAGATTTATATTTTCATGCTATTTTTTTCTTTTTTTTTAATCATTCAGACCTCGCTTCAATACAATGCTAATAACTTTTCAGCATCAACTCGGATCGTCTTCCAGCCTTCATCAAAGTTGTTGACCATATAATTTCCTATTAGGTGTGGATTTGGTTATGTTTTGGCCGTTTCCAACGCCACAGCGGCAAGACTTTTAAAATGATGTTTTATGTACACTTTAAACTTCAACTCGGGAAAAATAGCTCCAAACAGGTAAATGTTGACCGCTCAAATTTTGAACAAAGTCTCAAGATTGAATAGAGAATATGTAGTATTATGGCGAGGGGGAGGGTCAAGTCTTGGTCACCCTAATGGCATATAAAGTTAGAAAAATGCAATTTCTTTGAATTAAAATCTTATTTAAATTAAAATATCTCATCGAATTTATGTTAAATCACCCTAAATGTGTATATATTTCGAAATATCTGTTTTTTTTTCATAACCGTTTAAAAAAAAAAATGATTAAAAGTGATTGAGTTATATGTGATATTCACTTACACTTACAATAACTTTAAATGTTATGGATGTTACACTAGACTAACAACCTACAATAGGTCAATTAAGGCATAACATTTGATAACGGCTCAAAAGCATTTGTAAACAAACTGTCTAAGACCCTTTACACGTGAACCAAAGTACGCCCACGCAAACCAAAAACATCATCGGATAGGGGCAACTATCACCTTTCCGAAAGTGGCATTGGTTTGCGTGGGTGTACTTTGGTTCGCGTGTAAAGGGCCTTAGAAAGTTTTTTTTACAAATGCTTTTGTGCCGTTATCAAATGTTATGCCTGAATTGAAAGTTTTTTTTCATCGTGTAGCACCGTGTAATTGGTAACAGTTACTCATTATAAGAGAAAAATGTTTACCCATTCGTGAGTTATGCCACTTCAATTTAAAATGGGTGACATTTTACACATTCATGGGCACTTTTCAGTTAGTGTACACAGTAATCGCCAGAATTATTCGATGTACCTATAGAAAACAAAATCGACAAACAGGAATCCTCCTTCGTCGATTCCTTCTGTCAGTGTTCATGTTCAGGCAGCATGTTTTCGTTTTCTCGCGTCTGAATCGCTCTCTCGGTACCTGTTCTAGTACCACACCCGGCACGCCAAGAAAAACATTGCCGCTCTCACACTCACACTCACACACAGGCACGCCGCTGCGCACCGTCTCGTGAGAGATCGAGCTGTCAAAACGTGAAAAAATAACATTTTCTACCTTTCCTCCTGTGCGTGTGGTGCGTGTATCCCAGGACGGTAGCTGACATCAGCATTTGGAAAGGTGGAAATTTACTGATTTTGTAGTCGGATTCCCCGTAAAGATGTGCTAAACAAGTCAGGGCTAACCATTTTGTGGGGGAGCAGTTTGATGGAATCGTAATAATCGAAAATTGACAGCCGCAAGCTGGAAGAACTCGTATTCTCTTCCGGGTAGTGAAGCAAGAACGAGGCTTCTAAACAGCTGAGTGCAGTCCTGGAGAATCTGCTGGCGGTGTTCTTTAATTGAATCTGGTACAGGAAACCTGAAGGTAAGGAATGGAAAATGGTTAATCGAACTTGATTTTGTCGTAAACAAATCGTTTTGTCTAGAAAGTCTTATGATTATGATAAGAAAAATAATTGAGAGCTCCAGAGCGAGAAAGAGAGTGTGAGAGAGAGAGGTTAAATAATTTTTCTTCCGTTTCACCAATACATTCGTACTGCATTGGGTGTAGATGGAACATAACCTCAATGAAGATTTTTGCTGTTCTTGCTGGTGTCAAATGGCTTACGAATGTTTGTTTTTCGCGAGATTGCCATGAAATTGTTGTTGGATTAAAATATTTGTTGCTGTAAAAAGTTTGTTTTGATGCCGGCTGAAGGTATTTCATAAATGATTATAAACTTTGATAATCTAACCATAGGATTTCATAAATTTTCGAATTGAAGCGATTTAGATTCTGACGTAAGAAAACGTGATGACTAATCATGAAACGAAGAGTATGAAAAGCATACAAATCATCATTTTTTGTTTTATTTTTCAGCATGGCACGGATCTCTTAAACGATGGCATCATCCCCCTCGTATATGGCTGTGATATGATCTGAGCTAGAGCGTACCCACAATTCTGCAGGATAAGAAACGTTTCGAGTCAAATTCTAGTTTGTAAGCACAGTGAATGCTGATTTCGTTGGAGGTAGATAAGTTCGAAAGTCTGAAAAAATGGAAGTGTCTGGGCCACCCGTTATGAAAGTTGCAAGCTGTAGTAAACCTTTCCAATGTTCTGAATGTGACAAACAGTTTCGACAACTCAGCACTCTGACAAATCACATGAAAATTCACACAGGTAATTGCAAGCAGGTTGAATGTTTGGTTCACAAAACAATTATTTTATTTTGCGCTTATTACAGGCGATAAACCTTATAAATGCACAATATGCTCGAAAGAGTTCCGCCAGACTACAACTCTATCGAATCATATAAAAATTCACACAGGTAAAAGATGGATGAACATGAAATAAAACATTATTTTAACTTGTCTCATTCCAACAGGCGAAAAACCATTTAGCTGTACGTTTTGTGGAAAACAATTCCGGCAGCTCAGTACACTATCGAATCATCTCAAAATTCACACCGGTAAGTTGAATGATTTACGCTTGCGTCACAATAGATTTTGTAATCGTGTTGTTTTTATTCTGATTTCAGGTGAAAAACCCTACGAATGTTCCGTATGTGGCAAACAGTTTCGACAGTCCAGTACGCTTAATAGTCACATTAGGATCCACTCGGATGATAAGTATTGTAAGTATTTCATAGCATTTCCACCCTACTGCAATCAGAAAATTCACAGTCCAAAAGTTAAACAGTGTCCCATAAATAATAGTGACAGCCTCTTCTCTTCCCAGCTGTGAAACCATTCAAATGCACCATGTGCCCCAAGGAGTTCCGCCAAACTACGACCCTGTCAAACCACCTGAAAATTCACACAGGTAATGGGTCAATGTTTATTTCAAATGGCTGCATTTGTCAATTGTGCTAATGATTTGTTATCGTTTCTTTTCAATTTTTTTTTCTAGGTGAAAAGCCCTACATTTGTACATATTGCAATAAGAGTTTTAGACAGACAGGGACGCTCTCGAATCATATGAAAATCCATACCGGTAAGAGTGTAATAATTTTCGCGCTGATGATGGTGTATTGATGAAATGTTTGTTTATTACTTTACAGGTGAAAAACCCTATGAATGTGCAGTGTGTCGAAAACAGTTTAGGCAGTCTAGTACGTTAAATTCTCACATTCGAATTCACACGGATGACAAAATATGTAAGTATTTAAATCTGCAGATACTGTTTTCAAGAAGCGCACTCGGAGAATTTCAGCGAATCAGCTGAGCTTACTTTAGAAAATTTTACAAAATCATGAAGAACACAGAAAATATTAATCACAGACAAACGGCCATAACTCATTGAATATTTCTCACTGTAAAACATCGTCGCTAAAACACTACAGTACACTGTAACGAGCAGTACGCTCAACAGATGGCGGTAGTGTGTGAACCTCAAACGCAAGGAAATTGACTATGCACGCCACTGGTAGTGGTACTACCAACCAGTGCTGAGATTTGTCATTCTCATTGGCAGACTTTCGCGCGATATTCACAAAATTGTTTTTCACATAGTCACTGACAGACTTGATCCTCAAAAAAACCTTCGTCAAAATATCGTTCATTTTTTCGTCAATGGCAAAATTCACCTTGTAACAAAAAGTGTAATTTCGTGCATTCTGTATCACATTATTGTTATCCAAGCAGTTCAGGACGTAGATGCTTGTTCCCATTCATGTAATTGTGTTGCTCAAGTTATTTAATTTCGTTTCAAATTTAGTTAATAAAAAAAATCTACTCATTTTCGTCACTGACGGCATTTTCATTGACAATTGACATGGTTTTCCTTGACGATGACTGTTAGCTCAAATGAGTGACCAAAGCAGAAATGTCAATATTCCCGTGTATTGTCGAGATTTTGCAGCACTGCTACCAACTAAGATACATTTGAATTGATTGTGAAATGCTTGTTCGATAAATAACTTGCGAGTGTTATTTATGATTGTCTGTGTGTTAATGTTCGATGTTAGATCGTACTAAGGGGGAGCTGAGATAGAAAAATCTCCAGACAAACCTTTTGTAATAAATGCATGGTCCCTTAGATCTTAAATCTATTATTATTAAATTGTTGAGTATTTGTTGATTTTCCTGATTATTATGGTTCCTCCTTGGAATCGCTTCTATTTTTCCATTGACATTAATATTTCTCTTGTACATTGACTTTGCATATGAAGCACTTTTTCCTCAATTCGTTATTACATATTTTCATAATTTTGTTGGGGTAAGTTAATCACCGGAGTGGTATCTCTTACCCATTGGACTCCTCCCAAGTAAAAATTGTGGTTTTATGATGGTTGTGTAGACCATGGTTTAGAGTTTAAGAATGCTTTAAAACCTCGTTAAAACGCGCAATGTTACAGGGGCTGTATACATGTTCGGGTCTATCTTCGTCATACTTCACCAACACATCCTTTCGAGTGGAGCTATGCAAACTGCAGAAAATGAACAGTATCCCTCCGCTAATCCAACAAAATTAAGTTTTGATTATCAACGCAGTGCTAAAATAATCAATTAGTTGACAACAAGTGCAAACTACATTTTGCGTAAAGCCACATAGTGGGTCTTCGATTGTTTGTTTTCATTTGTAATTTTTTAAATGTGATAGGAGATTAAAGATGTGACTTTTAGTTATGCATTTTTTGATAAAAGAGTTAAGAGAAGTGATTCGAATGACATTGATCAAATGTGGCTTATATTTACTCATCATCCCTCCATAAATAGGTAAGATTGATATAGATTGACGGCAATACTTCTATTGGTTTCTCCATACCGGAAGAGTAAAGCAGTGGTTCGTTTCGATTGCAATCTCCAAGTTACCCAGCTAAAAATCAAAACAAAATGATAGAAAACAATATACTACTGAATGGCATTGTATTGCTGTTATTGTATTATTTTATGGATACAGCTGTATCCTGGTGGTAGTCAATTCAGATCACCCTTGCATCCAATAGATGACACTCCGCCGATGGTGGAGAAATGAAATTTGAAATACAGGTTTACCTTGATATAACGTGACTGTCACTTTCGACTTCCATCGCCGATTTCTCGCAAACGATCATCCAAACAAGCAAAGTAATAACACCTTCGGACAGATGAGATAATTTCCCATCTATTGGTAATATTGTAGTGTATGATTCAATTGTTATTAGCGCGATACTGACGATGGGCAAAAAGTGACAGTTACGTTATATCAAGACATACCCGTATTTCGATTAATCGACACATTCTGCGTTAATTCTAAAGAAATAATGATAAGGCAAATTAATCTGTGACTTTTTACATGAGCCGTTAATTCAGTTCTTCCTGCTCTACTCTGCACACTGGGCCAGAAATGCAATCTAGTGGAGCAAAATTAATAACTCTGAAACGAAGCATTTCCGCGACTTGGTGCCTGGGGTAAAGTTTCTCATCATAATAAGGACCATCTATTGACATAAACAAATAGTTCAAAGCTTTGCTGAAGAAGTCAAGTCTTCAAAATGCCATTTCAATGCATTGGAAACAAGTTATAGAAATAATACGTCCTCCACCAAAATGATGAAATCTCAAAAACACCAAAATATACCCCTATCAAATTTTGATATTTTGTTTGTCGAGATTACTAATTTTTTGCTGAAAACGTCAGGTTGCGATTTTTTGCGCTTTGAGAGATATTGAAGTTCAAAAATTGTTGTTTTGTTTAGGTTTTTCAACAATATCTTTAAAATTTGAAGCTCAAACCAGTATGTTTCTTTGTAAAAGTTATCTATTCAATTCATTTGCACAAGAGAAAAAAAGAATATTATGTGGTTGTCAGCGAAAAATCTGAAATAGAAAGAGAAAAAAACATATTTTCGACATTTTTTTCTTTAACTCCATATAACTCGGAACCAGTAGGCTGTTGAAATTTTACGTCTTCAAAAAAGTTGTTTATTTTGTCAAGGCAAACAGCTTTGCCCAAGACATCAAGTCTCCAAAACGTCAGCGAAAGAAGTTAGATTGTGGCGCCATCTTTGCGGAAGATTTTTGAACTATTTGTTTATGTCAATAGATGGTTCTAATTATGATGAGAAACTTTACCCAAGACACCAAGTCGCGAAAATGCTTCGATTCGGAGTTATGAATTTTGTTCCACTAGATTGCATTCCCGAGCAAAGTAGAATAACAACCCGATATCATCTAGATAACAAGTCTTGTTATCCCAGATATTATTTTGTTTTCAGTTGTTATCGCATAACTTATTTAGTTATCAGCCTTGATCAATTTTGTTATCAGTTGTTATCATGAAAAATTCACTATACATTTATTAACGATGCAAGGTTAGTTCAAAACTTTAAATATTATTCGCATTGAAACAATAAAAAATAGTACTTTTAATCCCTATCATATTTCAGTTATAAGCGTAAGGCTTTGATATCAAAATGATAACATGATTTGAAATTTATGGAATAAATTTGTATGGCTTACAGAATTTGTTATCAAGATATTATCAATGATAACAAAATTAGTTATTTTTGTGATATCCAACGAGCAATTTTTTGTTACCATTTTTGTTATGTTGGCTGTTAATTCAACCATAATGATAACATATTCAGTTATCAAAAAGTGATAACGGGATAATAGAACTTGTTATCAATTTGATATTTTACTTTGCTCGGGTTTCTGGCCCAGTGTGCACTGTTCTTTCGATCTATATTCAGGTCCCCAACAACTGAGCTAAACTTTAACGGATTTGGTTCCAGATCATTTGCTGGAGAAGTTTACATAGGAAAATATATAGAAAACGGATCAAAACTATTAAGCTGCTTTTCAGAAATTCGAGAATAGCTCAATGTTGATCAAACCTTTGTGGAAGACCGTAAATACGTCTGTTTGTAGTTAGGCACGGAACACTTAGTCAAACTGAGTACCAATGCTAAAGACGCCAGGGATGCAGCTCCCACACCAGGACCCTACCTATCGACTCATCAACTTATAGACCGGGGACCAACGGCTTTATTTCCCTTCCGAAGGAAGACGTGATCATAGATTGTATGCCTCAGGATTGAACCCAGGCCCTTTGGAGTGAGAAAAACTCACGCTTACCACTACATCACCGGCGTGCTAAAAAGTTAAAGGTTAATACCTTGTTGTACAGAAGTGGAATCGATTTGCAGTTTTCGACAGAGTTGTTCTGCATAGTTTTTCCAAAATAAGTCTCAGATGTGGTTGAAATTGAGCAATTTTTGAATTTTTGACAAACACATTAATAGTTTCGTTACGTTTCCTCTACATTTTCCTATACAAGTTTCAAAGTTCTCCCGCCAATCCAGATCCTAACGGATTTAATTTATATGTGGCACAGTTTTTGGATTAAAAGAGCAGTGGGAAGATAGGGGTTGTAAAATTGACCCACCCTAATGTACATGATTATATCTTAAAATCCTGACAACCTACAAAGTTGCCGCCTGTGTCATAATCAGGAGAAAAATCAATTTTTTGGCCTCAAAACACTTATTCGCAAAAAAAAACCACACTACACTCAATTCTGTTTCTACCCGATTTTCATATTTTAATTTTGATGTTTACTACGTCTTACGGGAAGGTACTGGGGGTAAATTGTAGATCTAAAATTGCGACCGTCACGAAAAGGTGTAAGGTTTTGAACGCTTATAACTTTGTCATTTATAGATGAAATTAAAATCCAAATACATCAATCGATAGGAAATAACTATCGTAAGCTTTTACAATAAACGCATTTTCAATTTTTTTTCTTAAAAAACCGTTTTAAAATGTACAAATAAAAAGTGATAATTTTATCACTGTTTTCATAAAATAAACGTTTTCCCTAAACCCAGTCGTGATAATCGAGTACCATTTGGTTGCGCATCGTGCTGCTTGAATCTGAAAAGTTATAAAACAGCGCTGCTAATGTGCCTCAACTCACGGTCTTCCAATCTTCCTAGTGAAGAAAATAAACAACTTTCTATCAGACAGGACGTTCCGAGTCTCTCTGAATGGCATCACATCGGATGCTTTCAACATCGGTGCCGGGGTTCCACAAGGAATCATCCTTGGCCCCATTCTATTCAACCTGTTCACCTCCGATTCCGGCTCTCCCTGATGGTGGATCGTTGTCTCTGTTCACAGATGACACATCCATCATCTACACAGATAAAAATTCTGAATTTTAATTGTGATG